AAAAAATTGAATTAAAAAATTACACAAAAAATAGGAATTCTAAATAGTTAACTTGATACTAATATCGATATATTTTTGTCAAATTTTTATGATATCTTCAAATTTATATTTTATTCAAAAATAAAAACAATATCATTTTCTCAAAACCACTAAAAACTGTATTATATCGACGAAGATAAATAATAACACAAAACATTAAAATTAAAATATATCTTGTTATAAGATGCGAGCACTCTTCTAATGTTAATAAAAACGAAAAAAATGCAGTAACATGTCTACACACTAAAATAATAATAATCTTAAAAAAAAAGTTGGTGAAAGTAGAGGGGGGTAAAGTGTCATTTAAGCAAAGTTGGTGAGACTTGATATGGTGTGTGCGTGTGTATTATGTACATAAAAGGACCACCGAAGTTGCTTTGAATTTTTGTATTCATCATGGCAAGTATTGTAGTATTCTTCCTCTCGTTGGCTGCCGGAGTAGCCACCGGACAACCGTCTCTCCTGCCGCCATCTCCGCCGCCATCTCGGGCATGTGATATACCAGCTATATACAATTTCGGTGATTCCAACTCCGACACTGGCGGCATAGCGGCGGCATTTTATCCTCCAGGTCCACCTTCTGGCGAAACCTTCTTCAAAAGGCCCGTCGGAAGAGCCAGTGACGGCCGCCTAATCATAGACTTCGTCGGTAAAACAAACCTCGAAAAAAAATGTCTGAAATTTTTATATTTTTTAACAGGGAATTTATTGTGTTATGTTATATGATTAGCCGAGAAACTGGGATTGTCGTATTTGAGTGCGTATTTGGATTCTATCAAAGCCGATTACACACATGGTGCAAATTTTGCAACGGGCGGTGCAACCATTAGGCGCGTAAATGAATCATGGTTCGTAAATGACGTTAGTCCGTTTTCTCTCGACATTCAAGTTGAGCAGTTTAATCAGTTCAAAGATAGAACGATTTATCTGTATAATAAAGGTAAATTCTATTAAAAACAAATGCTCCAATTAAATACTCATATGTCCACGTTTTTATTTTACTATCCCAAAATAAATGTCCATTTTCAAAAGTAAGTGCATACTTTCCAGTTACACCCTTAATTATGAGATGGAGAAATTAATTAGTAATTTAACCAAAAAATGTAAAATAATTTTTTGTAGCCGAGAACGAATCTCAAAGAAGCAATCTACCTAGGCCCGAGGATTTCGCGAAAGCCATATACACAATCGATATAGGCCAAAACGATATTGCATACTGTTTCAGGACACTGGGAGTCGAAGCGAGCCGAGCCGCCATCCCCGATATCGTCAACCAATTTGCTACGTCTATTCAAGTAAATTCTGTAAATTTTCAAGACGTCTTGCATTATTTTTATACTGAGATAATGTACCAAAGGTTAACAAAACGAGTCTTGAGGTGTCGTTCTATGGAGTACAGATGATGTCGGGCCCGTTTAAAGGAATATCTCTAACAGAAACTCAACTCAACGCACTCGAATAAACGATAAATATCAGGTCAAGAAAAGTCCGTGTGTTCAAATTGATAACAGAAAAAGTCTTGTTAGCCTGTTTATGGAAAAACATGGCTCGACGTTGACTTCTAACTCCACACATATGTATGTTTTCGTCACTGCGAGAAATAAAGAATGTGGCGTGTTTTTTTTCCTTTCAGATTCCGATACAAATTTGTTCCATTTGTTGGAATAATTTCGCACTATTTATGATTTGTTTTATTTAAATTTATTCATAATACCTGACTAAAATGTGAACGTATAGCAATTATACGGAAAAGGCGCAAGGGCATTTTGGATACATAACACAGGGCCCATTGGTTGTTTGCCCGTGACATATGCGAAGATCCATGACCCACCCAGGGGTTACCTCGATAAGACTGGGTGCGTCGCGGGGCAAAACGTTGTAGCCACCGAGTTCAATAAGCAACTCAAAGCGAAAGTCATTCAACTGAGATCAGATTTGGCGGGAGCTGTGCTGACGTACGTGGACATGTACTCAGCAAAATATCAATTGATTGCCAATGCCAAAGACCAAGGTGCTTCACTTCGTCTTGATCTTAGTCAAACGTTCTGTTTTTTTTTTGTTTATCGTGTATAATTTGTTAATTTATTGACAAATTCTTCATTTGGATTTGTAATAGGATTCAATAAATGGTCCACGATATGTTGCGGATACCACGATTCAGACGAGGACGTGTACTGTGGGAATCAAGGAAAGATTAACGGTACTGAAGTTTTTGCTGGATCGTGCAAAGACCCAACTAAGGTCATTAGTTGGGATGGTGTACATTACACTGAAGCTGCGAACAATTGGATTGCGATCCACATCACTGACGGATCATTTTCAGATCCACCATTTTCAATTCTTGAAACATGTCCAAATCATATATCAGTATCGTAATCATTCATCAGTATCAAATTCACACTGACTGAAACAAACTAATCAATTTGTTTTTACCTTTTCATTTGTCATCTTGTGATAAAAACAATGAAACATGAGTTTCGATCCATATGTCAATAACATACAGATAATAAGATTAAATAATACGAAAAAATTTATTTATCTGTTGTCTTCTCATTCAGTTTCTATTTTCTAGCTTGTTATCTATTTATTGTCTTCTAATTCAGTTGGTTTTTTTTGAGCTCGTTATCTTTTCAGACTTTTCGTTCTTATGTGAACGTGAGAGACATGACTTCTTGATTTCAATCTCACTAAACATGTCATGTTTGATTATGACATAAACTCATATATCAGTGTTTTTTTTATTATATCCAGTTTATGTTAATATCAAGAACAATCCATGTTACCAAATGGCCTTTGATCTAGCAGTTTGTGAGTCTTTGGCCTCCTAAAAGATAATGGATACCTTACCAAATGTGAGGAGGGTATATGAGTTTTTATTATATTTGCCGTATATAAATATTATATATACTTAAAAAAAGAACGATCCGTATTTTATATAAACATAAACTAATTTATCCAAAATTTATAAAAAAATTAATTAATTCAATTCATTTAAAAAGACTTATTATCTTAATAAATATCTTCGTTAATTATTTATAAAATTAAAAATATTTAAAGAAATAACAGTTACGAGACCTAAGAATACATTCTTGAGATTTATTTATCAAAATGTCTAAAAACCCAAACATAGACATCTTATGAGATTTATTAGTACAAATTTACCAAATATGCAAATTTTATCAAATACTCAATACATTTGATAAATATCAAGTAAAACACATTAATACTTCAAAATACATATTTTTGGCATGTACATAGTTTTCACAAAGTAACTTGAATCCACCTTATTAGATTTATGCTAAATCCAAACCGAATCTTGAACTTCCTTTGAAGGAAACTTGAGATTTACAAGCATCTCTCAAATCTTAGATCTAAAACTTATGAAAACATATTTTCCACTCAAAGAATCCAAAACTTAAGACAAGGATGAAAGAAAAGGTGTGGAGATGAAGAAACACTCAAAACTGTAGCTGTTTATAGGGGAAGGGAAATGATTTGGGTGCGAATAGGGGTTTCTAATTCTTACCAATCAAACGCGTGGTCAAATTCCATTATAATTCCTTCAAAGTCAAATTCCTTTGATGGATTTTAATTATGTCATATTCAATTCTACAAACCAAACATCCCCTTACTTTATTCGAGTAAAAATTATAATTTCAAAAGTATAAAGACATAAATAGTAATTTTCAACAAACACCATGGGAACTAAAAACATAATTTAATTTAATTTAATTTATGCATAAATGCGGGAACATTTTATAAATCGTCATCCGGCCCTACACGTGGACCAACCAGAAACTATACCGACCGTCGGATCGTACCGTTTCTGACAAAAACAATACAGAGTGGAGCACCACACTGTCGCCCGCAACAATTCTCCACGCTCTCAATTAAATAATCCCCAATTAAGATGAAAGAATTTTGTCCAATTCGAAGATTCTTCCAATGTCTGCATTCATGAAATCAATCAACCATTCATGAAATCATTTGGTAATAATCCTTTGTTTCTCTGCCAACTCTACTTGCTTCACTTTTGGTTTTATTGAATTCATTCAGCAAATTTGAAGTTGTAACTTGTAAGTAGTTATTTGAAGATTGAGTAGCATTTTATTTTAAATTCTAGGGTTTTTGCTGCTCGAAGTTAGTTGATTTAACTGAGTTTGACGGTATTTGCTTTACATTCGTGGATTTTTTTTGTTTATGTACGTAATTTGGTTCGTGTGATTTATTACGATCTAGGATATGAGTTGATTTGCGTTATGTTTGCATTGGTTGATTTTGTTGGAGTAGAAATCAAGTTGAATTTGTTTTTCCCCTTTTTTCGTTTTCCACATTGTTTGTTTGTGAATTCGTAAATGTATTTGCGTTTTGTCGGTTGGTATTAAGAAGAGAAATTCCGCAATGTAGGTGGATTTTGTTGATATAAACGAGGGGATATGTACTTGTTTAGATTCAATTACTATATGCAGCATCGCAAGTTCATCTGATTGATAATTTTTTTAGAGTTGAAGATCCGGGTTTTAAGCGTCATAAAACTAATATTATGCATCACCTAAAACATGATAAAGAGTCATATAAGAGTGCTAAAAGATCGTAAGCACAATGTATTGTAATACATGTTCTGCTTAACCTATACAGGGTTTAACGGAAAATGACTGAACAACACCTTAGTTGCATGTTATTTATGATGTTTTGATTACCGGCAACCCCGACTGGCCCCACATGGACCCTGCCCCTGAGGAACCACATGTGAGGAGGCATTTCAGAGCTAAGGGGCTGTTTGGTTGGTTTTCCATTAAGTTCCATATGAATAAAGTTGTAACTCCGGATTAATCTGTCTGTATAGATTGGGAAGGTTTTTGTTTGGCAGGGTTTTTTTCATAGATTGAAGGAGTGTGTGTTTTTAATTAGGAGGAATAGTTAAACTTGGCTTTTTGCATAAAGCTCCCCCTATAAGTAAGCCACTTTCTATGTATTATGCCACTACCAAACAGTCATGTATAGTTGACTGAATAAGCTATGACTACCACTAAGTTTATTAAGCTGCTAGCAAACATGCCTAAGCGGCTGAGGCTAGCAGGAGGGTTCAACCCATCTCCCGCAGGATTCTAACTTGAACCTGTTATGATGTTTGATATTTACATATTGTATATCTTTGTTTTTCATGTTTCTTTTTTCTGATTTCAGGGTTGGACCACTGTGATAAGGCTACACATAGTGAGGGAGTGAACTTTAAAGTTGACTATATACATAAGCTATAGGTTCTGAAAATTTGAGGCATCTGATTTTTTCTTTCAGATCAGCTGGTTCAGAATAGTATGGGAACAATTACCCGCAGGTTCTAAACTCTAGTTCTTGTTTCCTTTGATATTTCTAGGTCTAGACAATTTGGATGACTTAATTCGTTTATTCCACAAAGGTTAAGGCCTTTGCCATTTATATAAGTTGATAACCTGATATTGTTACCAAAGGGTCATTGGCCCGGTGGTACTCGGGTTACCGGTAGAATCCAACTTTTGAGGAGGTTAAGGGTTCAAACTTCACATGTGCGTGGGTATTTGCCGTATATAAATATTATATACTTAAAAGAAAACTAGATATTGTTCTTTGTCACTTACTGTCGTTTTTGGTGCAGAGGAATGGTAAGAAGACCGAACGAGACAATGAGGCTAATAGTAACAACTTTTATCAGTGTTGTATTTGGATTGTTTTTAGGAGTATCTTTCCCAACAATTTCATTGACTAAGGCATGCTTCAAACGGTTCTATCATTCTTTGAGTCATGTGAAGTTGATTATGCTATCTATTTATTACCTTAAAGGGAGGAGTAAAAACAGAACAACTTGTGTTTGAAACAGATGAACCTTCCATCGACTCTACTTCCCTCCATTGATCTTGGTTACATAGAGGACAAGTATTCAGGCCTCTCATCTCAAGCACTCTTGAATATTTGGTCTTCAATAAGGCGTGGTGAGGGCATATTATCACATGAACCTGAGGACACAAAGGTAAAATTGTTACTCCATTTTGTCCATAGATCTCTCTGTGTGTATATATATGTATGTATAGGGTGAGGTTCAGGGGAAAACCCCAAAAAATTGAAAAAATGAGGAACACCCTAATAACCATTTATCTGTGTGGTATGCACATCTACATACAAGTAATTGAAGATGTTTCTTGCACATGCACATGTGCATACCGGACAAGTACTTGTATGCACATGTGCATATCATACAAATGAAAGGTTATTTGGGGTGTTCCTCAGTTTTTCATTTTCTTGCGGTTTTCCACTCAACCTCACCCTATATATATACACATATATGAATGTATGTATGTATGTATATATGTATGCGGGGATGGAACCAGAATATGGGGTTAGAGTGGTCCTCTTAAATGTTATTATGCAAATACATAAATAAGACAAATAAAAAAGTATAAAACTCGCCTCAATCCAGGGTCGCATGGATCTAAGATAAATAGTATCATTTTCTGCTTATACATTTTTCCATGATCCTAGAACCTATTGTCTTCATGTGAAAATGCTCGTAATGCAGATCTGGGTTCCAACAAATCCTCGAGGAGCTGAAAGGCTACCCCCTGGTGTAGTTGCATCCGAGTCTGATCTCTACTTGCGTAGACTATACGGTTCCCCCAGTGAGGTATCTTCTGCTATATCCATGTTATTTAGCTGCCATTTGTTAAACTCGGTCTGAAATTACTCCATCTATTTTTTCAGAATGAAAAAGGCACACCGTTTTAGAAATGTGCAATTATTACACTTTTTAATTAACTAAATGACAACGTCCCCCTTAATAATAGAGGGAGTAATGAATTTCCCCATCTCATAATTAAGGTTATAATTGAAGGTAGGCACTTGCTTTTTGAAAGTGGACACTTATTTTCAGCCAAACTAACTTAGAAATATGGAGTGTGGATACTTAGGACCCGTTCGGTTTGACGGGATGTTTTTGAGAGATTTGGAGTTTGTGGAGTATTTGGAATTGGGAGGATTTGGAATCTTTGGTGTGTTTAATTTGTAGGATTTAGAACGGAATTGAATTTCATTCTTTATAAATAATTTATGGAAACAAATTTTAAAAAAATATAAAAATAATTGCATTACCTTTTTTATTAATTGATTATTACAAAGCAAGTGTTTTTAACATATTTTAAAACATTATTAGAAATCCTATGAAATTCTGCGAAATACCAACTGGGTAACGGAAGTTCTAATTCCCATGTTTGTGGGATTTCAAGTCCAAGCGTTCCTTCAAACCAAACATATGATTGGAATGGAATTCAATTCCAAATCCTATCGAATCCTCCAAACCAAACGGGACCTTATTCTTTGGGACGTAGGGAGTAGTTAACTTCATTTGTGTTAGGAAATTATTTGATAAAGTTAAACTTGCAGGACTTGATTATCAAACCAAGGTACCTTGTAACCTTTACAGTGGGTTATGAACAGAAGGACAACATTGATAATGCTGTGAAGAAGGTTGGGTGAATGGTCATTTATGTCCTTTTTGGTTATTTGTGTGTGAACCCATCTAATTCTAGCATCATCAGTTCTCAGAGAATTTCACCATTCTGCTGTTTCACTATGATGGTCGGACAAGTGAATGGAATGAATTTGAATGGTCAAAGAGGGCTATACATGTCAGTGTTCTCAAGCAAACTAAATGGTAACTTTCACATTGCTTCAACTACAATGACATGGGTAGTTTAGTAATTTATGTAGACAGGACTGGACTGGATGGTCAAGCAAACTCCTTGTAAACATAAAAGTGAGTTTGGTATGCGGACAGAATTGGACGGAACTGGACTAGACTAGGCTAGACGGTCAAGAGTGAGGTAGGTGGATAAAAGAATCCCGGAAGGTTTTAGTGTTTTAATTTGACATGGGTAGTTTAGTAAATTACCAATCTTGTGCCATGTCTTTAATTTTTGTTCCACCTATTTTGGTGGGACAGAAAAAAGGGAAATTAACGTAAATAGCCATTTTGACCAACGCAATTCATCTCCTAGCCATCCCTCTCCATTTTTACCATTTTATCAATATCTCCGCAAGTGCCCTTGCCACAACTTGCGGAGGGTGCAATTTATAAAAAAATAGACTGTATCTGATTATTCTTAAAATTAGATGAGAAGAGAAGTGATTATTCATCTCCTAACCGGAAGTGGAGAAAAGTGAAATTCAATTCTTTTTAAATCCTCATATCCCCCTCAGCAAGTGAACAGAAGTGAAATTCATTTTTTTAAATCATCAATGCCCCCTCCCGCAAGTGAACAAAAGTGAAGTCTAATTTCTTTTTTTTAACTTACCAATGCCTCTCCGCAAATTGTGGCAAGGGCACTTGCAGAGGTATTGATAAAATGGTAAAAATGGGAGAAGGATGGCTCCGAGGTGGTTTTCCCAATAAATGCATCCTTATCCCACTCGGTTCCTATCCTGTCTCGGTCTAATGTAGCGCCAGATGTGGAACAAACTTTTTTTGTCCCACATACCAAACGCACCCATAAATGAACTATTTTTCTAATGGATGAGAATGAAATCGGTTTTAGGTGGTATGCCAAACGTTTTTTGCACCCGGACATCTTGGCACCGTATGACTATATATTCATCTGGGATGAGGATCTCGGATTGGAGGACTTTGATGCCCAAAGGTAAACGTTCAAGGTCTTGTATCCGTTAGTAACTAGAAAGTAGATATTTTTCAAGACTCTTCTAGCTTATGATGCAGGTACATAAACCTTGTCAAGAAGCACGGATTGGAAATCTCTCAGCCGGGCTTATCAGCTAACAGTGGACTAACTTGGCAAATGACTAGAAAGCGAGATGATAGTGAAGTGCACAAGTAAGCAACAGAACTAATGCTCAATTCTTTGTAGTTTCTTGTTCTATTACATACAACCACTCTACTCTTTAGGGTAGAGGCGAGGTATGCAGGCATCTTACCCCCAGACCCTTCACAGACCTGACCTCCGTGTGGGGATATATTGGGCTCGTTTGATTTTTTTTTTTCTTCTGGAAGGGTGCCCCGGGTTATGCCCAAACTAATCTAGCAAATTGTGACTGTAAGAGATTAGTCCTGATAAACTCAGTGGCCACAATTGTTGTGGATGCCTGGAATTGAACCCGAGGCAGATGGGATATTCCACCACATCCCCCTGGGCTTCAACCACTATACCTTCGAATAGGAATCCATTTTATGAAAGATCCTGGCTTTCGTGCTTTGGCGGGTCTCCGAGATCCTTTCGATGACCTATGTTGCCACAACCCTTGTGGTTTTGGGCTTGTTTGGTTTGGTTTGGTTTGGTTTGGTTATATGCTTACCTTAATCTTGAGTTGACTTATTTCACTTGTTGAACTCCCAGAGAAGCCGAGGAAAGAGATGGCTGGTGCACTGATCCACATCTGCCTCCATGTGCAGCGTACGTTTGCCACTTTACATAGTTCTCATTCAACAAAAAAAGAAACATGCTTTGCTTCATAGTACTTGATAAACTAAGGGGTCATTTTCCAAATGCTTACCCGGTAAGCGCTTACCAAGTCACCTTACATTACCGGATGAACATGGCAAAGACCGAGAATCTTAACCGGTAAGAGCGATGACGAGGACTAAGAGTCTTACCTGGTAAGTGAGGGTGATGGCTCTTACCTAGTCATGGGCGGACCTGATGTGGTGGCATGGGTGGCACGTGCACCGTATTATTTCGCCGTCGAAGGGTAAAAAATTTAGGTTTGTTAACGGTGCTATCGTATCATTTTAGAAGGTGCTACCGTATTTCCATGAAATCCAGATGGTGCAACTAAAACCCAAACAAAACAAAGCCCAAATAACCAAAACCATAATTTTTGTAATTATTTTTGGGTATATATTGACCGTTTTCAAAAGATGAAGACGCGTCGGGTACAAGTTTAGAAGTTGTTTATCGGTACTTAGGGTTGTAAACGAACCGAACGAACATAAACGAACGGTAAATGAATGAACGAGACTCTTGTTCATGTTTGTTCGTTTAACTAAACGAACAAAAAAATAGTTCATGTTCGTTCATTTATTAAATAAACGAACTTCCCGCCGAACGGTTCACGAACG